ACCAAAAACCATGGTCATGAGAAATCAAGGTTGGTCAACAATTTTTCAGATAGTAGTGTATTTGCCTATACAGAGAGGTTAACCTGCTTAAACTATTACAACTATTAAGAAACAAGCCATGAATGTGCAATTAAAACAAATAATTTATTCCTTTTGCTTTCATCTTGGTTAGACAATATTCAAATGTGTTCCAAGAAGATCATAAACCATTAATAGTAAAATTGAGAACACAGATTTTACTTTGATGCCACGCAAATCTCATTTTATTCTCAGGGTTTCCATGTGTACAAATCCTTCAACAGTTTTTCATTAAAACTCAGAGCTGGTAAAATAACAAGGACACTTTTTATTGTGTATTGTGTAATTTTATAAAGCGCATTTTAACTTTGCTGAAAAGGTTCACATTTTAAAATCTTCAGCAATGGTCAGCTGGTTGGATCATGTTCTATGGATGAAGGATGGGGCCATGTTTACATGGTTACATACACTACCAGACAAATGTTTGGATACACTTTTTCATGCAACGGTCTTCTTTATTTACATTGTTGATTCTTACTGAAAGCATCAAAACTATGAATTAACACATGGAATATCGTAAAACAAAAAATAAACTCAAATAACTATGCTCTCTTATATTCTAAAACTTTTTTTTTTCTTTGCTACATCAGTCCATATATCTTGCTTTATATATGTGATGTCTTTTGTATGTATATAAAATGTACTAAATGTTGAAGGAGAAGGTGAGCCCAAACCTTTGGTAATGCATTTTTAGCCCATGTTATTAAAAATGCACACTGAGTCACTGTTATTTGATGTTGCTGTGTTAGTTACATGTATATATTTTTCCTTTCTAGACACCTTCGGAGCTTGTAAGCGGGTGCTAAATGGCCAGCTCCCCGCCTCACGTCCCGGTGTCTTTCATGTTCAATAATTTCCTCCAGCCTCTCCCGTGGGGCCACACTTCCTCCTCCAAAGGTCACATTAAGGCGGGAAAGATGTCACAATTAGAAGGGCATTTAACGTTGGTCGCCCGAAAAGATTAAAAAGCAATGTTAGCCACATCGAGCAGTCAGCCAGCGATAGGAAATACAATAATTGCATTAAAAGTTCATTCCTTTCGGGTAGGTTTCTGGTATCATTGTGAAGCATTAGGTTAAGTCATTTAAGTGCCCTGTCTCTGATCACAAATCATCCATGGAAGCAGCAAATTAATAAAGAGCTTCATTTTTCGGCGTCTCACACTTTCTCTTATCTTTTTGGTTCTTCCGCCGCGTGTTTGGGGGGAAATCTGAGACCAGGCTAACGCAATTTTTGTCCATGTCTATCAGTGTGTTATTATATCAGGGGCACTTCTGCTCAAATGTACAGGCCGGGGCCATTTGGAATGAATTGATTCACACTGAGACTGAATCCTGTACTTGCTAATGATTTCCTTTTAGACCCTTCATTGCACTCATGCCATTTGTGTGTTAAAGGGCACCATACACATGAGGTTACGTTTTGACATGTATACGAGGTCAAGGTAGTGTTTCACGATATGTTTCAAACTGTATTTCCATATTAAGAAAAAATCTTGATACTTAATGCTGATTTTAATATTAAGTAATTTATAAATAAATATATATATATCTTAAAATTGAGTGAAACTTTTTTTAGGTTTTTTTTTTTTTTTTCAATTTAGTATCTGGATATCGATTTACTACTATTATTCTGTTATTTTTTTAATGTAATTTTAGTACAATGAAATCTAAAGTTTGGAGTGTACTATGTTCTGTTATACTTTTATTGGGCTTTTTTCAGGAACTTGGATGGAGATCAATTGTAAACATTATGCTCCATGTTAACCTCTTCCTGTTTTATCAGTGCACTACCACTAAATTAGTTTAAAGTGTTAGATACTACTAGGTACAACTAACATGCAATGAAAAAAGATTCTACATGGTAAGTATCGATTTCTTCCAAAGCTTCTTTACTAGTTCTACCCCCATATACCATCTTACACATGTACCATATCTATACATTTACTAGCTCCAGTATATAATGGTTAAGAGCTATCACTAGTTAGAGAAAAATATACAACTGGTTATATAAATTCCCACAGGCGTCCAAGCGTGTGGTTCGAACTTAATTGGATTTCAGGCTCATTTCTCACAATCCGAGGCATCACAATTGTAATTTTCAGACAAGTGCATCGCTAAGACTAGTCCAATTCAAACTCAATAACATTGCTGTAATCTTGTCCGTTCATCAACTTCAGCCCCTTTAAGTGTGTTGGTTAATGTTATCTGTTCCTATGATTGAGTTTTCACCTCTTTTTGGCCTTTACCTCATACCTCATTGGTTATCTGGTTTGTAAAGATTATTGCTTTTAACATGAAGCACTCTGGCACATTAGTAAGTAGAGCTTTACTACGAGATTTACCAAGCAGTCTAATAGTTGATCTTAACCCAAACATCCAGTCGTTTCAGACAACTTTTTTGTCATTTTATGAAGTTAATGGGTTTAGACCATGGGGCATTAGGATCTTAAAAGCCTTGTCATATGCTACCCATGTCATAACAAAGATGATCTACAAGTCAATAATAAGACAGGACTGAAATCTGCACAATGTGGTTATAATTGATTGAGATGTCTGGGTGGAACTTGTGCAAAGCGTCTATGTCATCTGCTAAGAAGTGCACTTTTCCCCAAAGATCCCCCAATACAGTTTTAACCCAATGGACATTTAGCTCATTAGTTGTCCGCTGAGCTAGCTGTGGTCCTCCAAAGATGTAATACTTACCTCCTATTAACACAGACACGGATTTAGTCAATACTTTGCAATTGAAACTTTAAGAGAACGTAAACAAGGTTTGCCCATTCAGCATATTCTTCCTCTATTAGGTCACTTAGCGCCTTGGTAATTCTCTTATTTACTGGAATGAACATAGCGCTATTAGATTTCATTGTGTTTATTATTGCTACTTTTACCACAAGTAGTCCTATCGGTGCACTTAGGCCTGCGAGCTTGCCAAGAGCAGATGATGTTGCCTGGTTATCAAAAGGATATTTTCACAGTGTTTTGACTGTATCTTTTGGCCCTGAACATGAGTTGGGTCTCCACCATGCAAATGCTTTAATCTGCTTGTCACAATGAAGGTTCCGGGTGAGTGACTTTAATAAGCCCTGAGCATATAGAGATCCGGGAAGTGCCATAGCCCTGCTGTAACCCTTATGTACATCAAGGTCACGCCTGTGTCACACTCAAACACCACATTAGTGTTGGGATAAATGGAGGGGCCGTCTCCGGGGAAACCACTGCAAATTTGCCTCTGTTTAGGTTTAGTAACTGTATTATTCAAGAGAGAATGGAAAAGATGTGCATCTACTGGAGAAATTAAGCCAAATTTGCATGCATTATTTATATGGTACTTAATTGGTCAGGTCTATAATTTTCACATCTGTGAAAGCTAGGAGCCAGACCAGGACATTAAATAAAACTGCATATTTATCAGAAAAAAATAAATAAATAAATAAAATAAAATAAAATATAAAACATTGCTACAAACAATAAAACAATAAACACCTCAAAATGAAACTTTAACCAGATCCTGACAAAAACACTATGAATTAATTAAACACATTTCCTGCAAGAACAGTTCCATCCTTAACAAAAAATATGAAACTTTAGTCTTAGCAGAATAACTGAGGTTTATCAATTTTTTGTAGTTTTGCATCAGTATGTATTAGACCAGTTGCTTGCCTCTTACTTGCATTTAAATGTAATGTTTCATTATATTATTTATTAATACAATGCTAAAATAAATTTATACACTATGTACAGCCTAGAAACTTTAATTTCAATTTCATGTTATACAATGGAGTCTATTCATATTTACTGCAATACTGTGAAATGTGTAATAGCCAGATCCTCATATACCTGTCCCTGCTTTCATATTTGTTGGCTTAATGAGCGAAACTTTAGTTGGTTTCTGAAGTTTCCACATTTCCCGTACATTATAGGTCCTTGTGCACCGCAGTTACCCCAGACAAGTTTAAACTGCTATTGTTTTGGATTGAAACGGTTCATAGTATATGCAATGCATTACCCAAAGCGAATTACCACTGGCAGGGCATTCAATCACTTTGTATCTTTCAACACTAAGAGAAAAGAAGAGTAATCAAAACCTTTCAACCTATTACAGGGATGACTTTTACAATTGAATCACGGGGACCACAGGTGCGATAATAAGTCATCTATACCCCTCCTCCAGCGCCTTTCCCCCATTCTCCGCGATCTTCCATATTTATCTATTTTAAGCGGCGCCACTTCAAGGCGCCCTCTGCAAATTTATGTTTTAATGCCATTTGAAGAGGACTTTTTTCCAACCTCCTCTTATTCTTGGAAATGCATACTGGGGTGGAAAATTAAGGTGCATCTCGAAGGAAAACATAATAGAATCGATGAACGCGGTGCACTTAAAACGACTGCTGTTCTGATGCTATTTAACGTTCTGGTGCATTAACGTTTCAAGTCATTACAACATCCCGGCTTGGCTGATTCGATCACGCCAGGTTTTTAACTGGAAGAATTACAGAACTTTTCAGCCTAGGATTCTCAAGTTATTAGATCCAAATGATCACCTCTGCATTAAGTATAGATTTTCTCCCAGTGTGCACTTAAGAATGGAAGTTTGTCTTTAAGAGTCTAATAGCGAATTAAGCTCCATCCTCCATTTGTCCAGCACTCCTGATGGGCTAATTTTATAACTGCTGATTTGGTCATTCCCCACATTTAGCTGGAAAGTGGTCAGGTGTGGTCTCCACTATACTGCGAGCTGGGGTGTAAAGGGGCTTAGAAGCAACTATGAAATCCATTTATTTTTTCATAACGAACCATTTTCTTAAAGAAGGTCTAGACTGTTGTTTGCTCGAGTTGAAAGCCCCACTTTGCTGCAAGCTTCTATCTCACACATTATCTCATTATGATGAATTAAATCACATCTCTCTTTCTGCGCAGATTACCACCGCTGTGAAATTTCTCCAGAACCCGAAAGTACGTCAGAGTCCCTTGGCAACACGGAAAGCCTTCCTCAAGAAAAAAGGTGAGAGATTTGATTAGTTTTTGATATATACCAGTTGCGGCTAATGTTAAAATCCATATGCTGATGTTGCGCCGTGAGATGTGCGCTGCCAATGTCCGATTTTTTGTGTAAAAGGTCATAGGTCACGGCTGTCGCTTTTCACCCCCAGGGGAAGGCAACAGGGTCGATTTGAGCTTGGGAGAGCATGATTCAGCCACTGTGAATAAATGACAAACCAGTCGGGATGCTCCTTTGGGTTCAGGCAAATTAATATTGACAAACTCTCTCTGCATTTTCAATGGAATTATCAATATTGCCTTCCAGCGTTTTAACCCTTTTACTTAATTTAACTGTTATCATAAATTTGAGGCGTGACGCACAAAGGTTTTTCCAGGCAGCCAGAAATCGTTTGCTGGCTCTTCAATTTCTTTGCAATTCATTGAGATTATTTCTGACACAAGGCCTGAATATTGTTTGCCCAATAAAACTTGCAAAAAGGCTTTATTGCTTTGAACTCATTTAAGTCAGTTCAATATGACTAGCTGAGTGGAAATGCGCACAGATTTGCCATGTAATCTTTGACTCAGCCTATAGCCCTCACCTCACTTAAACTCAGTACTTTTATAGAGCAGTTCTTTACTTATGGGACTGTATGGGTGCTGTGAGTGCTCTGGGAGTTTGCCATAGCATTAGAGAAGCCAAACAGTGAAAAGTGAGCCTAAAAGCTGATGACTGCCCGCCGTAACCTGACACCAAATCCATGGCTGCCGGCTGCTACTACACGCGTCTCCAATGACTCCCTTTAAATTGCTCTTTTTTCTCATTATTGACAACAAAAGCCTGTTTATGATTGGTCAAAATTTACTCATCAATAGTACATGATGTCGGGTTACACCATTTTAGTTTTAAGTTTGTGCTTTGTTTAAAAACTCCCACTGAGCTCAGCCTCTAAAACAGAGTCTTACTGCACTTTGCGCCCATGAAATATGTATGACGCCTTAATGCAGATTTATTTTGGAAAGTCGGTTCCACTGTAGATCTAAACAAGAAGCCTGGATTTGCATAAAGGCATTGATCTCAGGAAGAGAGAGGCTAAAGATGAGAGAAAATAGAGCAATGAAACACCAAGCACAGAGTACTTTTGAGTAGCACTCTGCAATATAACTTTTGACTTTGAATCACATTTAAATAGAATACACTCCATGAAAGACTGTATAGGCTGCACTGCTCAGCACAAACCTACACAATGAATCTACAGCTCTCACACCATGCTGTCCTTCAGATACATGTACATTAGACACTGGGGTGTATGTGTGTGTGTCTATGTGTGTATATATATATATATATATATATATATATATATATATATATATATATATATATATATATATTATATTATATTATATATTTTTTATTTTATTTTTTTAAGATAGTTGTTTAGCCATAAGTTACAACAAACTAAAATTTTTATATAAACCAATGTATAGGTATCAAATAGTTGTACAAAATAATATTGAGCATGAATGTTAGTTTACTTATGTTCCATATAAAAACAGTTGTCACAAAACATGCTCTTTTGTTTAGTTTAGTTTAATTTTGTTTTGTTTTGATTTGGTGTGTTTGTTCAGTCTCTTGGGGCAGGACACATTTTTTCTGTGTTTTTTTTCATAAGCTTTGCTCCATAGGATGAAATCCTCATAACGATTTCCTTATTTTTTTTACTAGGCCTATATAGCCCTCTCAACCTTTTGACCCAGAAACTCAATCACACGCTCCCTCCCTCTGCTGCTGCAGCAAATGTGTCCGTCTTAATTTCTAATACAGTTTAATGTCATATTTATGTAAATACTGCAGGATTTGACTCTGTATTAACAGCCAGAAATGTCAAAGCACACATAAAATAAAACAATACCATCTCCCGGTGGAGTGGAATTTAAATTGGATTCCTCTTGCTGCAGTGTTTATGCTGGACAGCTGATGAAGGGGAAAATAGGGCCCACTTTGATTGCATGTTGCAGGATCTTTACACAATAATCTCGCCTGTGCATATTATTCCACTGCACATTTGTGCCCTAATCTGCACTGAAGGATGGCTCTCTAGCTGCACCGCCTGTTTTCCAAAGAGATCTTAATAGCCTGGTTTATTTCAATATTCATTGAAAAATATAATTTTCTGTTTTCCTTCAACTGTCAATTTCAGGGTATGAATTGGCAATTATGCAGTCTAATATTTTGAGCTGCCCTTCTGTGCTTGTTGAATAAACTGGCTCAAATGTTGAAACTTCAACGCTCAGGCTTAATATGAATCTCTATTCAAGCCTTTTTTTTCACCAGACCAAGGAAATGAAGTGCATTTAAGTTGTCAGGCAGCCATCTTGAAGCAATTTAGTTTTACTCGTCAGTTCCAAGATCAAGTAAATTTTATTGAGTTTGAGTGAAATATAATGTGCGGCACATTCATTTAGTGAATTGTGCCATCTATGTCCTCTACAATTAGCAGATGTAACAACTAAAGAGCGCCATTTTGGCAGTACCATTTAGCGCAGACAATTAGCAGTTACTCACATAATTACCAAAAAATCCAATTCTCAGTGCTAAGTCAACAGCATTTTACAGTGCTGCGTGTCAGTTTGACCGTGACTCCAAACCTGACAGCAGTGTGAAACACCACCTCCCCAGAATGAACACTGCTTTTAGGTGACTTTTTATTATATACATGTATGTCTAAACAATACTACAAAACCATGTGAATGCTTAGCTATGCAGGACTCATTTGGTGACAGTCTTATAACAGTTAAAATGTTGAGCAGACTTTTGTTTTATATTTTAAAGACTTTTACTGACAGTTATCCACAGGCAATGACTTTTGATGTCATTTAGAAATGAACTTTTATACCAAATGTCCTTTTTGCATGAGTAAAACCTAGAAGAACTTATGCCACCAAACATGAAAGTCACCTGTGTTTTCTAGAAAGACATAGATACACAGAATGGTGAGTGGTTTGACAGTCTGCTTTATAAGTAAAATCAGCATGTCAAAGAGACACAGTGCTTTCTCATAGACATAAATATCCTCATGACTGATCCCTTTTTTATGCTGTCCGAGTTGAGTTGAATAAATAATGCTAATAGCTTTCACCCTGAGCAGAGGGCCAGCGGTCGAGGGTCATCCGAACACAGGTAGGCTGTAGGACCATTACCATAGCTGCTCCGAAGGTAAGGAAAGGCTTCATCATCCCACATATTAATAGGATGCAGTTTGTAAGTGGGGTTATGCCACTCACCTCCCGGACAAAAATGACAATGACCAAGGCCTGTGGAGAAGGTAAAGAAATTGATGTGGTTATAAATTACTCTACGGCGCCACCTAGCCGAGGCCTTGCCTACTTTGTCATGAGTACAAGTAGGTAATAAAGCAGGGAAATGAGAGCAGAGTCCCCCTTTTTAATACATAAATGAATAGTGTATGAGAGTGGTCATTATTTAGCACTGCAGTTGTCCTGGGGCAAACAATGTGGACAATCAGGGTCGTCAAAAACAAGTTGCACTTACTTCTTAATAAACCATTGACCCTCATTTATTTCTGACCTATTCCTTACTCTTTTTCCAAATATGATATTCAAAATGTAAGTCATTTTCAGTCAAGGGCACTTTGATAATTCAGGCCTTGGAGGACAGGGAAAATGGCATTCACCTTTTACCGCCTCAAATATTTTAGTAAGCAATTTTTATAATTGGCTGTCCGGCCTAGGTCTTGACCCATAAAGTCCAGAAGTGCCAGAAACAGAGAAATGGATTTAATGTGTGGGCCTTGCTGCGTCTTTGCCCTTTAAAAAAAGCTGAGAGAATATGAGGCGGTGAAAATAGAGCTGTAAATAACATGACGAGCAATGGGTTTTCCTTTAAATAAATACCGATCAGGTTTATGTTGAAAGACAATAGAAAACGTAGCCCAGATATGCAGTTTACAGTATTTATAGCTGTAATATCGAGGTGCCAGCACCGTAATTTCATGCCCCAATGAGAATGGCAAGGTCAAAGCAAATGCTTTGGCTGAGCATCTGCTAATACGGTGACTCATAAACAGGCCCCGCGTGTATCAGGTGCACCAAATAATACAGTATAATGAAATACAGAATAGCTTTCCATTATTGTGCTTTTTTATGGTGTCGTCATTAGGTGTAATTTATGTTTTTAAAAAATCATCTCCCCCAGGTCGATGTGAAATGGGGGTCCGAGGGTCATTCCACAGGTTTGGGAACAGATAATACATTTTCAAATCCTTTTTTGTCTTTTTCCTTTTATATGTAAAACTCACTGTCACCTTGCTCCCAGTGCGTGTGGATCTAAGGGCGCTTTCATTTACTGTTGTCTTCCCCTCAACAATAAACAGATCAGAGACTACAACAACTTGGGGAGCTGTAATTTAACTAGAAACAGCTTTAGTGTGGTATTTCCATGTGTTTTGTTTGTGCTACAAGATAAAAACCCTTTCATTTGTTGCATAAATAACATCAAAGATGCTAACATTCATTTAGATGTACATACATTAAGCTCCGCACAGGCCCAGAAGTGGAGTTTGAAAAAGCCAACAGATTTCAAGGTGAAAGGAGAAAACCTGAAGCATGTTTTTATTTCTTTGCATTGGGAGAATCTGAGATCCCTGTGTCTCACTCAATAGTCTGCCACCATGCAGTCTGCTGTGGTCAGATGGAGCCGGAGTCCAGGGACACATTATTGCTTATTTGACAGTGAGTCGGACTGCACAAACTCAGCACATGGCGCTCACCACTTCCTGGCACTCAGGACCTGCTCTAGACTTGGGGCTGGCCAATAGTTTCCTTCAATTATTCAACCATTTTCATGGCCATTTGAAGTCCCCCGAGCTTTTAAATAGGTGACGGAGGCACCTCCAGTTGGCGTGAGATTTGTGGTAAATTATCAAAGACTTTCTTTATGCTTTAGACAGCTATTAAGGAAAAGGTAAAGGGGTATTTATTTGTACATTCAGGTAATCAAGATGGGATTGTGAGGCAGTTTGCTTTAATCATAACAACTTTTTCTATCTTCTTTCACTGTAATAATTTTACCACTAAAATACTGAGACAAAATTGTGCTGCCTCTGCACTTTGTGATTTGCATATTGATTCGCATATTGATGAGATGCCCTTCCTGATAAAACTACTATAACCAACACCAAATGCTTTAGAATAGAGTAGATCCTCAAAGATCTTTAAGTAGGTTTACATTGGATATCATTCAGCAGCTTCCAATTGTCCAGGCTTGATGCTGATGCAAAGAGTGCCATGACTAGTGATTGCTTTCATATATATGTAACTACTGCTTAACATATTTATGTAAACATGTTGCTCTGCTATGTCTTGACTTGTGTGTGTTTACTTCTTTAAATGTCAGTCATTTTCTGCTGTTACTATTAATAAAACCTAAGAGCTATCACTAAAAACACTGCACACTTTTCCTGTTAGTCTGTCATAGGAAAGTGGAAGCTCTTTTCTAAGCTTTTATAAATTCTCTGGATCCCAGGGGAGTAAGTCAAGTAAAAGGTTGTGTTTCACAGGGATTTTCTGTCAATAAGAAGGTAGTCGGGCAGGCAATGGTATCTACGCTTACCGAAGCAATATTGTTCTTATAAAGAGCAAAGTTATTAAGCTTATACTAAATATATTACTTGTACTGATACTTCATTTGTTGTTTAATAGTTTTTATTCAAATTATGTCGTAGAAGTTTTAATTGTTCTTTCTTTGTTTAGACTACGGTGCTTATTAAAAGATGAGACCCACAGCAATAGCGGCATATGGTGCCTGAAATAAAATCCTTTCTTGCAACAAAAGGAGATGTTCATATTAGATTTTTTCTCCTCCTCCCCTCTGACTCTCCATCAGGGAGCCCTTTGCAATTTAATCATCACTAAAATCATTAAAAAGATCTGAAGATTAAATTATATTGGCATTTGCAAAATTATGTAATACATTTACATTACAATGAAGAAATTAAAATAATGCATTTTGGCTGTCTGGGGTGTATGAAATCTCCACATGGGAAATATAACTGCAGAATTGGTCAGACTGTTATTTTCTGTGCCTTTGGTGGCCGTTAATAGGTTCGGTGAGTTTCAGATTTCATTGTACCAAGTGCTCCACACTATCTCCCTTTGATGGATGTCCCTGAAACAGAAGCCCTCCGTGGGATTTCTGAATTATAAAATTAAAATGCGTTTTTGAGAAGAGGGAAAATTGAATGGAGATTAGACATAGTTCCACCAAGTTGTAGTTTGAAGGTTTGCGAGGAACTTGGGAAGTATTTAAGCGTGTAATATCGTAGAGCAAAGAGCCATTCGGTCCATTCCATTAACACGGTCCCTTCTGTGGTCTCTAATATCTTCTATGTGCTTCTTTTGGTTCAGGCCTGACGGATGTGGAGGTGGAGTTGGCTTTGCAGCGCTCCGGCAGCACAGAGGAGGTCCTACCGCTGAGCCCTGTGGGACCTGCGTATCCTATACCTGCAGCCCACCTGGTCCCAGGACCACCCAGTGAGTGCTTATCACAGGATTAACTTTTACCTGTAGCCACTTCCTTTTGTAAACCTATTTAGAAATGGGACCATAAATACTGCCACTAGTAAATACATACAACAGTGATTAATTTCAGTGGTCACTGGGTGGTCAAATATTAGTTTCCATTCTGTCACAGCCCCAGTTAGCCCCAGAGTGAATGAAAGAACAGGTTTGAAGGTTTATTCAATAAATTCCTTAATTTATGTCTTTTATTTCAAACATTTCTACTTGTCAACACCATTCAAAAGTTGCTGTTAAACTGCAAAGCTTTAGCCTACATATAGACTAGACAAGATAAGATTTTTTACATAATGAATGAATTGTTCAGTTCAGTCAACTTTTTATGTACTATGCCTTCTCAAACTGTAAGTCACTGGTGCTTTTTTCCAAACTAAATGTAAAGACATAAAAAAAAAAAAATCCCACAAGATAATTTTTCACATGTATGCACAATCTTGTGGCAGTTTTATTTTGTGAGATCTTGTGGCCTAGAACTTGTCCCATCCCTGATACTAACTAAATGTCCGTATCATATTGCATGTCTTGATCAAGATCTGACTTGACGTATACTAAAGTACTTCGCAGCATGTGCTCACTACTTGGTGTTCTCCCAGATTTCCCTCAAAGTGCAGTGACCTGAGCTCTAGTCTGTTCAAGTGTTCCTCTGCCATCTTGTCAGTGAGGGCTCCACCCTGGCAGGACCTTTCCACGGCACCAGTATCTTTATTACCTCAGGAGGTTATGAGTGCTGTCCACTGATTTACCAATGCAGAATGAAGTCCGGCGTAATGCTTAACCTATATGACAATGATTCCAGATGTATTCCACCCTCATTTATTACCACACTGTCCTTGACTCCCTCGGCATCTCATGTTTTGTAATGAAAGTGATGTTGATGGGATGGCCATGTAGTTAGGGGAGACTAGCGGCTCTCTGTCCATAGTGGGGGTTTTATATCAAAACGGCTATAAGGGAGCTGCATAATGAGGTGAGTGTGAGGAGTCTTGTATGGGGGGTCACGCCGAAAAGAGGGGGCTACCTCCCTTTGATGTCCTTGTTATGGGGACGGTGCACGGGGACCCGCATCCATCTCTGTCCAAGTAATGGATACTCTGATCTCTATTTTCACGCGCTAGAAGGACAGGAAGGCCTCCACTGAACCCAATAAATTTGAGAGGAGATTGGAAAAACGGGGGATGGAGACCACAGTTCCAACGGCTTAAGTGACCAAATAAAAAAGGAAGATGGCAGAGTGGAAGTGGAAGAGGGGAAAAAGCGGCGATGGAGGCAGAATGAGAGGTCCTAAAGAGGCTAGAGAGCACGGCAAGACCCCCGTGATGCAGGCAGTCTGGTTCAGGGTCAACCCTCTCCAAGGACTCCCAGGCCTTTCAAAAGCATTCTGGGATAGGAGGCAGGCTATTGCAGCTGTAATGTTGATGAGGACCCAAATTTATGTGGTTACCATATGGATGTGGGGGAAAATGATTCAAAATTTTCGATAGTAAAGGTTACAAGTTCACCTCTAGATGCAGCAGCAGCCATGAAAAATGTGCAGGGGAATAATACGGCATTCACCTTGAAAACGCAGCATAAAGTCCAGTCTGACAGTGTATCCTGTTTGATTTGCATGTCAAATCATGCAAGTGGTAAGCTACAAATCAATCCAGTTTACTTACTTGAATCTACTGAGCCCATTAGGTGAAATCAGAGCTATAATAGAATATCAATGATGTACTTCAGTGGACAAGCCTCTGATAATTTCCTTTTCATTTAGGCTGCACTAAAGTAAATAAAGGCAAAACAGCTATAATTTCTTCAAAGCGGTTTGTTGTTTAGTGACATTTTCAGTTGAATGCATCTTATGTGGGGAATTTCCACCTTGACAGACAGTTGGCCTACCCAGATGACAGCCAGAACAATGACACACTTTCATTTGATCTGTCACTCAGCTAAACTGTCACGTGCATTAAAAAATGCACATGCCAGGAACAGTTGACTTTCTGCATTTAAAAACACCACAGTGAATCATATAGAAAATGTAGGCAAGACAAATGCTTTTTTTTAAAAGAAAGATTTTTTAAAAACAATATACAACAATATTCACCACATTACTTATACAGTTGAGGGACATTTCCCACTTTGGTATCTACCTTTAAAGGTGCACTATGTAACAGTTTGGAGATATGGCAAGATATCTATTTGCATTTATTAATTCATATGTATTTTCATCTTACTGTGAGCAGGCTCGCCTCTCCACAGGCCTGACCTTAACTTGGACAGGTGGCGTTACCTGCTTATCTCTGCGTTGATAGACAAGGTTAATGTCATACTGTCCAAAATTCCAGTCAAAGCAATAACATCTCCTTGGAGACAAGAGAGTGGCACACCCCTCACCAGAAAAGTTAAAAAGTTATATAGTTCATCTTCTAATCTTACACTTCAAAGGTTATATTCTAGTGTGGATAGTTTTGTATTGAACTCATAATTTTACTTAATAATTTTACTTTTCAAATGTCAGTTCCTAGAGGCTACAGATGGAGGGACTATGGTGCGCTCACGGTCATCATGGTGGGCATCGCCTTTGGCTTTCATCAGCTCTACAAAGTAAGTCATATACCTCTCTGTCGTAACTGTAGTGAGCTTTCATTTTAACTGTTAATTTTTCTCTTAAATTTATCACACACATTATGCGGCGCATCCTAAGATCTGTCACGTCTGCCTCTCCCTGATAGTACATTTTAAATTGGTGGGCTTTGCTAGTACATCAGTTTATGATGAATGATGTTGCCTGCGCAGTATGTAACATCACTGGGGCCTTGTTATTAAAGCTCCTGCTTTACGTCAAAGCATGAGCTCATTTGAAGCCCTCCTTTTAAACTTTCTCCTCCTCCTGCTGCTCTGTTATATATTTTCCCTCTTTTACAAAATATAGTTGCTCACACAGCACACATGCTCATTTTTGACGTGGGCCCATCTAAAAATAATCGCCTGGTTTTTATCAGGCTTAGCAGCCCTTGAACAGGAGCTCATGGGCCCCTTGTCCTCGCTGACATTAATCCCATAGTGGTTGTTAGTAGTAGTCTGAGTGGCATGTGGAAGCCATTACTCTCCTCTTAGAGCAGGACTCGGGCTGGTGCACTGGTGTTGGTGTGGATGACAAGCTGCTCACCTCTCTGTGTAAGTGAGTGTCTGTCATGTACATGCAGATGCCCATCTGACCCTGTGCCACATATTGGCTCCTCTTCAGATCCTGTTATGTTCCGATATTTCATTCTTCTTACATGGCCTTTCAAAAGACATGCACATTTAGGGCCCTTATCCTTGTCTCCTCATGCTCTTTATTGACAAAACCACATTGAACCAGTCCTCAGGCTCTCCTGTGTATCCTGGGAGGTGCTTCCCCAGCGGGACTGCACAGGTTGCTGTCATGTCACTGTAGCGTGGCGCCAGTCGCACCATATGCCCGAGCTTCTGCCCATACTTTATTTACGTTCTGCAGCGCCTTGTAAACACCACACTCACAGCAGCACACTTATTAATTACCACGTGTTGACACTCATTTAATCTTTTTCTCTAAAAAGTGTTTATTACTCGCGCTAGTGTGGCCAGTTGGCACCTGGATTGGAAAGAAACCCTGGCAGCAAGCTATGCTAACTGGTATCATTTTTTAAATATAAAGAGCAGCATATACAGTTTTTGATGGTTCGTTCCCTGTGTGAACAATTGTTAATCAACAACTACACTTTTTATTCTGGTCTTAGATAGTGGCTTACATCATCGTATTTACAAATTACTCTGAATCTGTTTTATACAAACTGATTTTCCAGGAGCTTTACCAGCAAAATCAACAAATCAAAAAATTTTCACTTTGAAAAATGAAGTAATGTGTTTCTTGTCCATTATATATAACAGTTCATTATTCCCATAAGCACAGTCAGACTATAGTAGACAGTGTCTTTGACCATGCATCGCTGTGTGGTGTAGGTGGCCTTGTCTCTTCCTCCAGAGACTGAAACACTGTGGCTTGTTTTTAATTGCAGAAATACATCCTTCCCCTCATTATGGGCAGCCGAGAGGACAAGAAGCATCTGCAGCGGATGGAGAACAACATTGCGGCGATGAGTGGCACGCTGACACAGACAGGTGAAGATTAATATCTTCATCACTTTCTCCCTCCTTAACATTTTCCCTCATTTATCTGTCGCCAAAATCGGGGGCCCCGCACGTTTTTAACAAATGACGCCGCTGTCATTTCGCTTTAATTTGAAATTGCTTGTTTACTGTCAGGCTCGGGCTCAATTAATTACGTTTCGCTGAAAAGCTCTTAACCTCCGAATATTAATGAGGAGTTGGGAAATGACAACTTTTCTTCCTCTCGCCTCATCCACTCTCGCCCCCTCCCATCTGTCTCCCCCTCGACAGTCTCACCCCCATCCAAACCTCTGTCATCATCTACAGCCTTCTCCCCATAGGTGGCGAGAAAGTTCATTTTAATTTGAGTGTGTACATGCATGTATAGGTCTGTGTGTGTTAGCATAGCGGCACTGCGTGTTGTCTGGGCTCAGCACTGGCCCTAGTGTGATTAAGTGTACAGTGACAGGTGCGGCTCCCATGTTGGACAGGTGAGGAATCTCAACCTGGCTGTCAAGCTACAGGAGAGAGGGATGCTTTCGTCGTCAGGATAATTAAAAATCCAGGGAGGCGTAAATGAGAGAGGCATCTCACAAAGTTTGGTCTCGTTAGCAGCAGTGACGAGCTCAAGTGTGTTTTCACCTGAAAGACACTCTTCACTATTTGATAATTTGAGCCCATTACAAAGCAGGCAACCTCTACTCTCTGGTTTGCTCCTGATGTTGTAAAAGTGCTATGCTTTTTATTTTAATTAAGTTGCTCTGATGACGTTTGGTGGAAAATGACATTAAAATTACAATGACTATTTTCCTCCATCTGTGAATAAATGTGTTCAGTATTAATGTGTTCAATATTTAGACATTTCATCATCAATCATGTATTAATTTGAGTAGTAAATTGATTACTCTAATCAATATTTAATTATCTTGACTCTAAAACTGTATGAATACTACAACATTACAAGTGCTCTTGTTTTAGTGTTCTTTTAAACACTTAATAATAGAAAGCATTACTTTGAAAAAACAGTACTATTAAGGTTGGTGTTTGTCAGATTGATAAAATATCTTTCGACAAAATAATGTACAATTGATTGATGATATGACTTTTTGATGTAGGATATGTGGTGTCATCTGTTGTTAGCATGCCTTTATTAGATTATATCTGTATTACTATTCTCAGTAGCCATTACAAACATAGTCATATTTTCCAAGTTCGTCATATCCTGTTCAGCTCTACAAAAGTAAACAAATTTGTGTTTGATTTTAAAGCTGATATCCTGGTCCAACTTTGTGACAATTGAATAACAATAAAAATACGACTGGTATCATTTCATCTGCGGGCACACCCAGGCCATTCTTTTCAGATCGGTGTCGAGCAGAGAGTGTGGCATTGCGTGCGAGGTGTGCCACCCTAAATCTGTTTAACAAATATGTGCTCTTTTATGGTCATTTTTACCAACTATGCAAACACATTTCCTCCCTGTATCGCACTGCCCTTTCGTGTTCCTGCTTTTTGGACACTTGCCAAAGCACAACCCATGCTTTGTTTGGTGGCAGGTTTTCTACACTTTATACCTCCTGTAAAAAATACGGTCCTATTCTTCAGCCAATGTTGCGAACTAATTTGCTATGACTGCAGTGGCCAAGCTGCTATTGTAGTTAATGACTGTTGTAGTTAACAGTTGGGGAGAGGGGTTGCAATTACACTGAGAGTTTCTCCCTCAGATTTGCCTTTGTCTTCCCTCTCTCTCTCTCTCCTCTGTAATAGCGCTCGTCCGCCTCACCGCTGCCAATTGCTTGAACCCCCTTTTGTTAAAGTTCATGTATTTCTCTAGTGCCGGACCCAATGAGGTGAATGGGGGACTACATTAGACTCTCGCCAGTCCAGCGGCTCAGGAGCTCGGGGCCTTGACTCCCATTATGATTTGCCTACAACTTCACATAGACAATTAATGAATGGATCTTGGAAGTACTTCAGCCTTTCCCAGACTAATAGAATTGTGGGGCTGTTTGGACACACTGAGCCATATTGCTGACCAGCTGGCCGTTAAAGACAGCAGACAGGCCTGGACATATGTAGTGTACATTATATCGAGGTATTTACTGAATCATTTACTGAATACACAATACAGTAGCAGCTGCAGGTCGCATTTTCAACACAGTTTCAAACTTGTCCTTGATTCAAGCTGAGCCAAAAGACACTACATTATTCTTGGCTTCATTTCTCTGATAACTTTATGCATTTTTGTCAAGTGTGTGGAGACTACAAAGGAGTGAAGTTTGCAGAGGGACATGAAAAGAGTTGGACCATGAGCTGTTTTGGCTGAGGTGCTGTAAAGAAGCGGTGCCAATGGTAATCCAGCGGGCACAGCTTTACCGGCTGGCTGGGCTGGCTGACCTGCACATCTGGAGAAGCCGTTATGTGGCGAGGCAGAATCGGACACTAATAGGGCAGCTTTGGGTTTAGTAAGTGCACCCTATCATAGTAACACCTTTGTAAGCACGGACAGCCCCAGTATTTTAGTTTTATGGCCGTCTTCATAGCGGTTGGTCACACTTATGATCACAAACTTAAACTGTTTGCTTTTTTTTTCACTTTGGTCCTGCTCAAACTCGTATTTTGTCGGATTGTGCTCGCATGAGAGGATCAAACGCTCCTCCTATTGATATAACTCCACCCGGTTAAACACAGGTGTCACTAAGATATTCTTTAAACATGATTTTTTTCTCTCTGATGTTTTTTCAAAAGAAACTGAGCCTCGAGCCCTTCTCTGACTGTCTTTTTTGTCCTAATCTCCGTTAATAAGGGAACCACCTTTTTTTTTCTTGGAGACTAGCCGACTGCAGCTTGGGCTTTTAACCACTGGCCTGACAACCCCAGCAGTGGACCGCCACAATATCTGTTGATGTTAATCCTATTAGGCTTGATTTAACACTTTACACGCCCATGATTTATATGAATGTTTATTGGTTTTCTGTAATATAATCAGCTCGGGGAAACTTAATGCATTGTTTGGTAATACACGGGTGACTGGAAGCAGGGGGCAACAACAAACTGCGCCTGGTGTTATTTGAAATCATACACCCTCACCCAACACCAACACTTGAACTAATTCAATCTTCAAAGTCAATGGAAAAAGAACAATATTTATTAGGATTAGGAGGGACATTTTGTCTGGCAGCCTCCTCCCAAATGAGCGCCTTGTTTTTTTCCTCTTTGTTGATCGTTTGAGGGTTTAAGATGCATTAGAAGCCAGTGTCTGGGCGGATAATGGAGGGTTAGACACTGTTATTTGATTTAAGTTCAGACACTTGAGATTAATATCACCATCCAATGTTGTGCCCCTCCATCCCACCCTTTACACCAAGAGGACCAAAAGACGCAGCTAAAGTTACCCGGTATTAAGTGTGATTACAAATCTTAAAAGACGGCTTTGAAGAGAGTTTAAATCCATTGTTTCTGTCAGTTTGGTGGCAATAAAGACTAGTTTTGTCTGATGATGAAAGTGTAATGACAGAGCTGACCCTGTTATTGTGTTGACTTCACAGTGGCCCAGCTGCAGCAGACTCTCGCCCAGGTCCAAGAGCTCCTGGTTCAACAGCAGCAGAAAATACAGGAGCTGTCCCAGGAATTGTCCACAGCACAGGTAAACTCTTCACTGGAATGTACCTGTGCTGCTTAGCTCATGTCTGCTTTCCTACATGTGTGAAACAAAAAAATGTCATTACTGATTAAAAGAAAATGTTTAAAGGTTTGAAGAAAAGACACTCAAAAAAAGACACAATAGTGTACCATCACACTGTAACATTAAACTTAGCTTATCTTCATCAAGACAAGCATGTGAAGCCACCAGGCCTAATTATTAGTCAGATTTGTGGGGGATGAACCTTCTCACAGCCAGAATACATGTTTTAAATTTTTCAATGTATATTTTGGCCATAAAACTCTTGTAAGTAATAAATGTGAGATCGAGATTCGAGAACTTTGAAAGTTATGTAATAAAAATAAGATTCTCTGAAAAAAAAATGAAGAAATACATGCACATAAACATATTATTTTTCCCTATAGACACAGTAGCACACCAAAATAACCTGATGAAGTACCAAGAGTAGCGCTTTAGCTTTTACTCTTACATCAAGTTCACTTTGATGTTATTGAATGGAGTATTATATAAAGCATAACCAAGGTTACAATAGCTGCTGTGTCACATTTACTGCACTTTGAGCAGGACACCAGATTTGAGCGTCTGATTGATGTTTTTGGGAAAGCCAGACAGGCCGTAACTTTGACATTACAGAAGAGGTCTGTGAATGTAAAAGTTGCAGGGTTGAATCCTTTAGATTGATGTGCGCAGCTTTCTCGAGGTCTTTGTGTACTAAAACCTCAAGCGCCGCCCTGAATCATAACTAGCTGAGATGGACAGCCTTACGATAACTGTATATCAGCTCAACACGCACTGCTTAAAAGTCCGGTGCATCTCATCATGGGACCATAATGTTTAACCATGTTGTCGTTCCCCTTCGCCTTGATTTTTATAGAGCCCCGTTCGTAATCTCTCTCGAATTGGAAGTGTTTAGGTGAATCGGACTGAATGATTGTTCTAAAAACTTATGTGCGAAGGATGAAATGTCGCTTGCTTTTTATCAGCGGCTCGTAAAGTGCTTTATAGTCTCCGCGCTCTGAAAAAGTGCCCTGGAAGAGACAATCTTAGACAATGTTTTATGTCCACAGCTTGTTAGGCACATGGTTGTTCCACTGTAGCATCTGGATATCGCCTGAAAACATATGCGATCACATCTGTTTGGGAAGAAAAGTCTGAATGTGTTTCCCCGGACGAGCTTCATCAAAATCTGATGACTCCCGGGTTTTTCTCGATATTTCAAATCATCTTTAACTGCGATGATTAGTGTTTAAAACAGCAGTAGTCCTTCTGAATATCAGCAGGAAGATTACCTCAGGCTGAGCTCAGAGGCGCATTTTTCACTAATACAGTTTTAAACAGGAGGTTTACAGTAACAGAGCATGTAGTTATGTAACTGGTATTAGTACTTATTTTATTTCTTATTTATTTGTAAAAGGCACACATTAATGAACATTTAAAATATAAATATGTAAAGATTATAACCAATGTGGCTAATTTTCAGATTCAGTCCCTTGGCAGGTTGATGTCAAAAAATCTACAGGACAGTAAAAAATACAGCAACAATCACACAAGTGACAAGTACATGTAACTCAAGCACTTTCACTATACATACAATTAATTTCATGTGAAATTAGAAGTTAAACCAATAGCCTCTCAATATAAAAAATGTTTGTGAAATCTCTCAGTCGTCCAAGTAGGATCCATAGTCCAATTCTGTCAACTGGACAACATGATGGCATATTTAACCGTCGAACAACTACTGTTCACTAAAAAATTTGTAGATTTTTTTTACCATTATGAGAGCTACCTGTGTGTGGACCAGTTGACTGGACGAGTGATTGTATCAATATACCTGTACCTTCTATATATTGTATTTTAATGGCACCATTTGTAAAATCAACCTGTGTAGGGACTGCAGGTGCAAATTAGCTATTTTGCTATAACCTGGCACAATTATAACCACACATATTACCTCTCTTGTATAAGTCAGTGTTTTATGAGCATTTCCCTGATATATAAACAAATTAACTAAAATAAAATTTATTAACACTTACCCCTGAGGTCCACATTTGGGTTCAAAATTGGACTATAAAGTGCTTACATCGCAATAACCACAGGCTCTGGCCCTTGTCTCAATCAATTAGCTATTTTGCGTTTATGTAAATTGATTCATTTTTGTGTATTCTGCTCATATTATTCTTTTTTGTACTCATAACTTTGTGCAGACAGTATTGTAAGTACATTTAATTTGCTATGAGTTCCTAGCAGTGTACAGCCTTAGTGTAAAAAATATGTATTTCTCATCAAAACACCCATTAAACAAATCATAAACCCCGCTTTATAGCTATAGTGTTGATCTTAAATTGTGAGCGCGAGTCGGCACCAGCCCCGTGTTGTCCTGGGCCATGTGGGAAATTGGTAAATTGTTTTCAGGTCCTGAGTTCTTGATGAGAAACACATGTCGCAGTGGACCAGCTCACCGTTTGTGGCTTTGGGGGTTAGCTTCGCCGCGCCTCTCACTGGGATCCACACGTAGCAATTAGACTTCTCAACACGGAAATGTGCCCTTAACCCAAAACACATGGAGGCTTCTGGTCCTCAGCTGCCACGGTAACAGTGCTCAGTGTTTAGAAACCACTCAAGTGGGAAGTGCGTTTAGTACCCTGAAAGTGAGCTTGATGATTACGCACATTTTCAGATCTAATGCTCTGATTTATTACTTCTTTATGATCAAGTTTGCGCAACACCGGCAACATTTCTGGCACATACGTGAGTGCATTTATCATGTCATGTTTACTGCTATTGTGGAAGATAGAAAAGTTCATGCGCCTTATCTAAAGTAAGATATAAATCAGCTGTACTTAGGATAGGATGAGGAATGTAGAATGCTGGATGTAAAAGGAAATTACAAATTAATCTGGGTTGCCATTGCCTTCACCTGCAGAACGTTTCTGTAAATTTCTGTATAGATATAACATATATATAGACAGACCACATCATTTGAATTCTCACATGCACTGAGAGTCACTGAGCTCTAACTAGCTGAGACTTGCACTAGTACCGATGAATGACCGCTGCAGGTGCTGAGTCCTTTTGGGGTTATTTAACTGGTTTTAGTCAGAGGATCTGGCAGCTCAAAGTGTAGCACTTTTTTATAATCAGTTTGAGAACCAAGACACAAAATAGAAAAGTACAACTTGACCATTGTGTATAATATTTTTGTAATTAACTTACTTCATAATGGTTGTCACTAAAATCCATATTTGATTTGAACATGTTTAATTCATATCAAATGTAAAATAAATATTTTACATATGTGCATTCCTTTGCATTTGCATTTCCTACTTAATTCTATAATTTAATGTCCAAAGCAATAATTGACACTAGGGATGGACAGGCGTTTTTAGTTCCGATACTGATTACTGATTCTGAAACTATATTGGAGTGAATACATAATGATCTGTAAAGCGTCTCTGTGACATATGTCTGTGAAAAGCACTATATAACTTAAAACTTACTTACTTACTTATAGCTTTTATCTGCCGATACACAATACCAGTGCAGAAACTGAAAAGAGCATTTATTTCCTTAAAAAAAACAAAAAAACAAAAAAGGATCCAAATGGGTTATGGAGCTCTTATTTATCTCTGAAGTAACTACAGAACAACTTTGTATAAATAAAAAAAAAACTCTGGGCCAACTATGACCAGGAAATAGATTTATTACATCAATGCATATGCCCAGCCAGGATATTTGCTGAACCAATATTTGGAAGCCGATATCTGATCCAGCTAATTTTTCAATATCCCTAATTGACACCCAGTTTTGCACATTCAAAAAACTTTTAAAAACTTCCGACATAAGCAGTAATAACCCTCGCTCCTGCCGGAGTGTCATGTATAGTTTGTTTATGCTCTGTGGAGGTACAGGTGGGCGGCTCTAGTGGCTCTATGTGGCCTAAACACTCGAGAACATAATACGCCACTTGGCATCAGCACTCGACACTTCTCATCACCCAGATCATGCCTGAACAAACAAATGAATCAACCATCCAGAACCAAAAAGGAGCACCTGTCACACATACACCGCAGATCCAATGTCAGTGCACTCCGGCTTGTGACTACGCTCATAGAAAATACACGTGGAAAAAAAACAACATTTGCTGTAGCCGCCTCCATCGCCTTTTAAGTAATGTGTCTCGGGTGGGTGCCTGTGTGTGATGGGGGTCGGCATCTTTCTGCTGCTTAACTATGTGATCCAAGAAAGTGGAAAAAAGATGTATACATATTACAAGCATAGAAAGAAATTACTATTAACTGCAGCAGCACCCAAGGACGCATCTGGCTAAATGAAGATAAATGCCCGTGGACCATTAGCAACAAGATAAGATCTTTAACAAGGCTTGTTTAAGAGTGTCGGAAAGCAAATTAATTCTCCGTTACTCTGCCGGCAGACACTGTGCTTTCGTGTAACACATGTATATTTATGATGGAATTAGTTTCAAAAGGCAAAGTCCCCAGAGGAGCGTTTTTGAGTGGAAACACGGCTACAGCGCAATTGATTCCACTCTATTTATGCACTTTCCCACTGGCAGTTTGTCTGGAGCAGGCGAAGGAGGAGGCTTCTAATCTTCGACGTACCATCCACTAATAAAGAGGGCCATCAGTGAGTTAAGTCAGGAGAGCAAACACAGTTAACAGGCTGATCTGTAACTAGAACAGAGAAACACTGGGCCTGGCTGTTTAACACCAGCAACAAATGATCCTTCAGTTAGACTAAATGAGAGAATCTATCTATATGGTTTACAGAATGATGAAAAGTTTGCACCGTTGCCATAGCAATTAACAATTCAAAACAGAATAGTACATCTTTTGAGTGATGAACTGTCCTCAGTGAGTTTCAGCTTCCTGCTACAAGGTACATTAATAGTTTCTAGAAAATACAATTGATGGAGTTCAGAAATGTCATTAAAATGATCAACTGCTGCACTACTGGTAAGATAAAACACACAAGATGCAAGATACCATAGTACAAAGGAATGAACACAGTGCATATTATTGCTGTGAAATTGAGTAACTATCATAGATGTGATACTGTGGTAATTGTCCAACTGCTGAAGTTTTCAGATAGAGGACACATTTTAATTTCCCTCCTAAAAAAAAGCTATAATAACTGTAGACTTGCAGTAAATGGTACGTTGCTTGATACCACTTTTAGCTGCTTTTTGCTCAGCAGTTTTCAATGACATGGCCCTTTGTAACCTCAGCAGTTAAATCATTGGACAGCAGCTAACACTTTGTGATCAGCACTGAACTTAAACACACAAACCTACCAAACTTGTAGCGCACTCTTTAGCTCTGGTGTCGGCGTTGCAGCGTTTGAAGCCTGGATCAGCCCGGTCACTGATACCCTCCACTCAGCCTCTTATTGAAAGCACCACTGCACTTAACACATGACTCTTACATAATGCCGATCTATTGTATATACACACCATCCTAATGCGTTTCAGAGCTCAAATTCTGCACTGGTCCAACATTTAATTAGGTTTCCTCCGCCTTAATAAGACATATGTCAGAGGTAGTGTTGTGTGACAGGCTTTGATGTGAGTTATTATGGACTGTTGCTCCATAGATAATACACATTATGTCTCCAGTTCGGGGTTACCAATTCGGTTTGTCCATCCGTGAGTGACACCGGCATATAGCAATCCAATTACAGAAGCAGAAATCAGCCTTTATTTGGGTTTATTCTGTCCCTTTAGAAATCATTCAGCCCATGTGGCAATTAATTTTTTCAGCATAAAATGGAAGAGAATCGGGCCTTATTATATGTGCGCCTAAGGGAGGAACGGGATTAAGACGGTCTAATGAGGTGATAGTTGTAATAAGAGTGTCTTCATTGCACCTCCACAACACCACTCCTTATCGGGCAGGTTTAGGAGTCGATAAGAGCTCCAAAACAGTTCACTCTGCCTCCGATCCTTTTCACGTGTGATTCAATTAATTTCACTTAGATTTAATTACAAGCCGAAGAGTCCAAGTTCTGCTCCAGCCTCTATAGGGGGTCTGCGCTTTCTAACGAGCTTCCTCCGGCGAGTAGCATGGGCTTAATTACACTTTTTAGTTTGCTTTTATCCCACTTTCCCCTGGTCTTCTCTCACTCCTCCCTCTGGTCTCGTCACTCTATCTCCCCTTTAAGCGCAGAGTGTGTAGTTTATTTAATAGTAGCAGAAGACCCACCAAGGCAATTATAGTCACTTTTTTATTGGTTTATACGGTTAATATCCAATGAAGAACCTCTTAAGGTCTCCCCTCTCACACCCTAACATTTGATTTTACACGGCCCGCTCTCGTCTCAGATCTGAAGTGATGTGAAGTTAGTACCCTTGTAACTCCACATGCATATTGGAATATAATACCTGATCTGTCAATCAATACAGAACTTAAAAAAGTATATTTAGTCTATAAAATATTACATTCATCCATTTTACACCACATATCTAGGGACATTTAACACAAACTTCCCTCCACGCACAGTTTCTCCAGAAGCCAGCCAAGACATTGTCCCCCAGTGTGTCCTCAGATCCTCCTTTTTGTCCTGACCCTCCTCCTCTTCTCTGGAAATGCTGAACAATTGGGCCTCTCATCTCCCACTCTTTCCTTCCTTCACTATAACTAATATTTGAATTTCTTTGCAAACAAACAAACATCTGATGTTTTAATCGCTTACCATTTCACAGCACCATACAGCATAGCACCATACAAAAAGTAACCAGCAATAAATAATAATAATGCATTGGTCTTATATAGAGCGTTCAATATGCTCAAAGTTGATTTACAGTTTTGTACATTATTCATTCACTCCACACTCGGTCATGGTGAGCTACTGTTGTTGCCACAGCTGCCTTGGGGCAGACTGACTGATTTGAGGCTACCAATCTGTACCACTGCCTCTCCGACCACAACCAACCATCACTCACCACATTTATACTAGGCAGTGTTTGTGAAGTGTCTTGCCTAAAGACACATTAACACTACTACTACCACACTACTGGCGCCCCACTGTGGCACCTGATATTACGAGCACTCTCCCATCCAATTACTAACCAAGCATGACTTTGTTTAGATTTTAAGATCTGACACGATCAGGCTTTGATGATGGTGGTTTGGCCATGACACACACATTCATTTGAGCAATTCTATTACATTCTGGCATGGTATTTCTGGATTTAGAACAGTATGTTTTGTGACGTCATTCTGTCCTTAGGGCAGTGATGTAGTGTGTAAAAGCTTAGTTCAAATACTGGGCATATGTTATAGTGAAGACGGGTGAACTGAACAATGGAGTGATTTTGGACACAATTATCTTCTCTTCCTTCTTGTTAATTGTTTTATGACTGATTTATCTTTTAAGTCCCTCAGGACTCCTGCCCCACAATCCCACTCTACTCACTGTCCTCAAGTGGCTCCAACTCTTCCACAAAATAAAAGAGTTAAAAGAGAGAAATGTACTAATAGACTGTACCCATGCTTTATTCGGTAGAAGCATATTTTTACTGTAATTTGCTATTCAAATCATATCATATTCCTTGGATGTCTATTTGAGCAAACACTTCCGTGAGAAGGAGAAAGTCAAAACAAAACTAACATTATAAGCATAGCTTAAGCCAAAGTGTTCTTGACTGGTCCAAATCACAAGGACAAAAGGCCTAATGTTTTGGAGTTGATATGGAAATAATGCCAATGGGGATGTTTCCTGGAGCTGTAACATCAAAGAGATTGGCCTGTTTTTGTTGTCACTGTTCACTGGTCATTTTGAGGTTGTTATGGTGATGACTCAACTTACAAAAGAACATGCGGCGTTTAACATTTGCATTGGTCATATTTGTTTTCCCTGGTAACCTGGTCCTAATTTTAAACACTGAATTTTATCAATTTACATTATGAAATGTAAACAAGAGGGCAGCTGCTGAGTGACCTGTAATGGATGTTTGCTTCTACCCCTCCACTGCACCTGTACTGTGTGTATGAGCAGGCTACATTGGCCAGTCTTACTGTTGTCTGGGCCTCAGTGGGTGCAGACAAACAATTCCTAGGTGCAACAGGACTCCTTTTAATTGGACTGATGTGTGCTGTACTGAAAGTGCATTTTGTGTAATAACTAAACCTCACATTGTTGAGTGAACAGTTTAGCCTGTGTGCGCTGACGACCCATACTGTATGTCTTTTGTATATCTAGTTTGTATCTTGTGTATACCGTGTGTACATGTGTGTGACTATAAGGCAGGTGCTGTGTCTCACTGTCCTTTGTCCTTTCAGGCATCGTCGTCCAGCAGCCGTGTCCTGGACGCTCAGACAGTGGGAGAGCTGAAGGCTGAGATCGCCTCTTTGAAGGGCTTACTGCTCAGCAGGTAACAAAGTCCCCCAGTCTCCTGGCACATGAAACGCCCAGGTGTCACTGAATTGCGCTTCACTTTTAACTCCCCAATACAGAGCACGAGACCATGTGATTGGTCCAGTACTTACAACATGTACCCAATGTCTAAACGGTTTTGCAAATGTATATATATATTTTTTTTTTTTTCATTGTATTTTTTTACATTCCACAAAAAAAATCTCACAGTAACAGTTTAAACTGATTCATGCATTTACTGTAACTATATTAACGAAACCTAATCCATAAGGTTCCTACTATTCGAGTTATATTCAGTTTGTGCAGGCCAGACCTAGTAAATAATGTTATCAGTGTTGATACTACGCAGGTATCTTTACTTATAGTGGTACATATCCCCTCTTTATCCAATATATATCAAACAATAGTGACCTTTTCTTATACTCTCACAGAAAGTACAGATGTGATCTCTGATGTCTTTCATTATAAATGTAATGTGATCCCCTGTACGTATCTCTCTTGCCTGTGACCTTACATAGCGTTGTGTCAATCGCTCCGGCTGGTGGCACGGGTTAATGTCAGTGTAAGCTTTTTGCCCTGCTCTTATTAAAAGTCAGGTTGTATTTCTTGCTCTGTTCCCAATCTCCTCTTGGCGGCTCCCCCTGTCCCATTAGCATGCATGATTATGTATCAGTGTCTATAATGAAGCCCAAGTAAAGGGTGTACATCAGAAACGCGCCGCCGCAGAGGAAAATTGCCTCTGAAGCGTCTAGTTGAGCATGTTTTGTTCCCGCTCGTACATCCTAATCAGTAATAATCCCTTTGTCATTTGCTTTCTTGACTTCATCCTGACTTCTTACAATGAGTTTTCCCAGCAAAGGCTTAAATCACGAAATAAAGGCGTCGGTAACACCATCTGTCTCTCCACTCACTCACGCTTTTTTAGTTTTTTTTTTCAAATGATTCAAATCAGTGTTTTAAAGTACTAAGAAGAGCTCATCCTGTTGTGATTTAACATTGTCTTTTTGATCTTAAAAGCCATGGATATAATTAAAAAACACTCAGAGACGGAGGCTGCCAGGTGTGAAGAACATCTGGTTGTTTGGGCAGAAAAGACAATTTCTCTGGTGTAATTATGTGATTTAGTCTGAGCTCTTGATGTGGGGCTGAGCGCTGAACCATATCTGACAATGTGTTCCCACTTAAACTTCAAATATACAAGTTTTAGAACAAAATCACATGGCTTATACTTTGAAAGTGACTCAACTCTTTGTGTCTTTCTAAAAAAAAACACAAGCTGTCTCTGTTTGTACTGCAGTAATAGCCATAAGAAATGAATAGGAAGTCTCATGTGGACATGGCAGTCGGCTCCAAGAAGCCTGTCTCTCATTGACTCATGCTAAAACAGCTCAAAATACAAGGTCAATAATTATTTTACAGGTATAATTATGGTCTCATGTTCTGCATTCTGTTCTCTGTGGATGGCCATGTTTAGATTATTTGCATGATGTGTAAAATCTGACATTTAGTTAGTAGCTACATCACTTTATTTGCAGGTCAATAACATAAAGAACTGTACTTCAGATGTTAAAATGAGTCTAACTTTTGTGTGAAAACATAAACACTTGATTTCCCATATACTTTCATATACTGTCATTAACACTGCCATAGCTGCAGTTTAATTATTATTCCTTCCACGTAATTCTCCTCACATATGGGACAATTTCATGTACAGATGTAGAGATGTAGAGATGATATGGTACTTTTTATAACCCCACCTAAAACTTGCATTTTCATGGGACCATTGCAGGTATATACTTGGCAGGGTATTTTTTAGTGTTATTTTCCTACAGTGTATTTCACATTAATTTAATTAAGTAAATAAAATGCAATACCATCACAGTAGCTATATCAGGTTTGGTTAAAATACAATGAAAACATCCACTCTTGAACATGTCCATCATTACCTTATTAAATACAACTTAACAAACATTCTCTAATAAATTAAAATGTTTCTTCTTTGTCTATCTCAAAACAGGAAGCAGTTCCCCTCCACTCCCACCATCCCAAAGATCCCATCATGGCAGATCCCCCTGAAGCCTCCCACCTCTCCCTCAGTGAACCAGGCCAACAGCAGCAGTGACATCTCCCCTGTCAGCATCGAGTCCGCTGGTTCCTCCCCCTCCAAAGACCCTCCTACCCAACCACCCCAGGACAGTTTGGTGGGGATGAATGGGGACGCCTGCTCCACAGCTCTGCGCATGGAGGTACAGGGGGAGGAGAAGAAGACCGACCAGGATCTAAATCATGTGGAGGAGGAGGAGGAGGAAGAGTTGAGCCTACAGACGGAGGACCGAAGAGGCGGAGATGGACAGATAAACGAACAGGTGGACAAACTACGGAGGCCTGAAGGGGCCAGTAATGAGAGCGAGGTGGATTAAAGCTCTAAATGCAGAACTGTACTGTCCTCACACTGGTGGCTTTGGCTCTTTTCTGTCCATTTTCACCATCTTTTTCCCTTTCTTTTCACTAATATTTTAATCTTGTGCAAATTGAGGCAACGGCTTGAGAAACTTGACATAGTGGAGTGTAGAGTTGACAAGGGGCTTACCTTCGTGTACTTTTCATCAAGTGAGATAAATGATTATGCATCAAACCTACTGCAAATATGCTGGGATTTCTGAAATGAGAAATGACAGGGAATAGTTCAATCTGCACTTTTTAAAAGTGTTGCTTCAGCTCTTTGGGAGTATTACAGATGAAGGGAAAGAAGCAGGGAGACAATCACCAAGCTAACTCTGAACTGTTATATGAAATGCATATATTATAAGATTATTACTCTTCTAACTCTTGCACCAATTTATGCCTTTATTTCAACCTCTTGGAGTGGGTCTCTAGATCACTTTCACTGAAATTCTGTAATATATTTTTTTTATTATTATTTGTTTCAAATTAAGCCCCACTGTTATTTTGTCTGTGGTATTACTGTCAGTATTATCTTTTTTTTTGGGTTACCTGTATGACATATGTAGTGCGTTATATTCTGATACCCTATAATATCCAGCCAGCCTTCCTGTGTCCAAATAAATAACATATTTTCCTCAAATTTTTTATGATATTTGATACTTTAAATAACTTTACTGTATGCAGACAAAATGCACATGCCCTACCTTTTTTCCAGAGAGGTTAGCGGCGTTTGTCTCCCTGTTGACGGGAATAGGAGAGGACATGCTCTTCAGGGCCTCAGCTTTTAGCCTCTTTTATGTGTCCTTTCGCATTGGTGTCAGTCTGTCAATAATTCACAAGGCCAGCAGCGGGTGGCATTGGGTTGAAATAAAAGCTCTGAAATTGGAGATTACGATGTGATGACGGCCGTTGTTCCAGTCCTGGTGCTGATGTACTCATTCTCTCAAAGCAAAAGAAGATGAATGTTTTTCCCTCTTTCACTACGGGCTACATTTTATACCTCCGACTAAATTGTGCGCTAGACAAAACAACCCAGACAGAGCCAAAGCTGCGTCTGCGTCTCCAGCAGGGCAGCTGATTTGCTTTGTGAAGTTTGTTAATAATCAAATGATCAACAAATAACAGATGTATTAGTTCATGCGGCTTGAAATGTCAACGAGGCTAAAAGCGCAAATCTAATCGTGAAAGCCCAGTTGCATTGTATTATTTTCTGTGACAAAGCCTCAGGACCAAATTACGGCGGGCCTCCCACGGTGAGCAATCTTTACAGAAAACGCCGCCAATATTTTGTAATTAAGCCACGGAAAGAGGCGCAATGGGACTGGAAGCTGTAGAAGTTGCATCATAAGTTGTTTGTTTCTAGCGCCGTGGTGGAGGTGCAGAAAATGCCCCGTGATTGAAAAGGAAAGTAATAAATGAATACTTTGACTTATTGAATTACTCACTCTGTCTCCAGCAAACAAGAAGAGTCCATGAGTGAGAGGAAAAGGATACAGCGGCACTGCCATCCCCACGACTTCTCATGGGGTACAGTATGAAACGCAAGTATTGAAACGGTGGGAACAACAAAGCACCATAAACTAATTCAACTACTGTTTCAGTGGTTTTGGTGGTGTGTTGGATACAAGTCAGTTGTTAAAAGGCTGTATTCAAAAAGTGTGTTTTAATCATTGACTAATCCCTGTAACATGCTCTGTCTATCTGACCTTAAACTTGTACATAATTGTAATAAAGCAATATAATAATAAAACTAAGCTACCAAATTTGTAATTTTGTTTCCTGGAGATTCAAATAGTTATTTTTTTTTACTTTCTATTGTTTAAATCAACCATCTTGTTAAGCTTTAAGAGGCAACTGCTGTGTTTTTTGGGACTTTGCAAAAATTAATTTAATGTAAAACATAATTATTACAGGAAATGATCAGGAAACATTTCTTTGTGACTTAGTTGTCATAAACATGTTCATATGATAAATCACTATTTAAATTTTGACAGTGTAAGCCTTTTCTTTTTTTTTTTTTGTTTTTTGCTTTCAAATTGGCGGTTAACTGGGCATAGTTGCCTGGTTGACTATGATGATCGTGAATTGAAAAGTTGCAGTAATATCCCTATCAGTTGATCTATGTACAGTATGCCTTATGATGAGTCATGAGTCGTTTTTAAACCTTTCAGAATCTACGTTGGGGTTTTTATGTTCACTCCAGAAATTACTCGCTGACATACTTTTAGCTCATTCGTTTTGGGCATGTAGGCGGAATCTCTTTTGGTTTCGGTACTGAAAGCCAAAGTTTTGTACCATGTTTTGAGAAAAAAACATGGTAAAATGATAGCTGTAGTTTGGCTGAGTCTGAGATACTTTTCTTTAGTAAGTAAAGTAACAGTAATTTTTTTCTTGCTGCCTCTCGTCCTCACTGAGCACTCTCCTGTGAGTTCTACTGAAGTATATGAGCCTAACGTGATCTCATTCCACAGGTTGTCTCCATGGATATGTTATTGCTTTCCCTACATATACTATAAGGCATTCAATTGATGTATTTCCATTGAGACAAGCGGGTGATGCCACTAGGCTAAATTACAGGTTGGGTCTGTGGAGAGGCAATCTGCGCTCATAGTGAGAGTGCGTATTTTCAAGTTTTTTCAAGCAGATGGCAGACTCCCCACTAGAAAATTGACATAGTGTACTTTTAATTTGATATATTTTAACCTTTTACCCATCCTCTGTTATCTAGCCTTGGAAGAGGCACAAAAATTAACCCAGACTCATGACAATCCTTCTGTTCCATTGACTCAAAGCCAAACAGCTGTACACAGCCATTGACTAGTTTATTCCTGCAGGCACCTCCTACATTCTAAATCATGCATTGGCCCTATTTCTTATCTAAACGTGTGCTTTATTCTATAGCTTTGCCAATACACTTCCTACATCCTCATCTCTGGAAAAGCTGCTTTTCACCCATACCGAGTTGCACCGTGCATTATCAGGCGTATGAATTTAATTTATCAAGCTCTGAATGATCAATAGCATTTCACATATTGATGAGGTATATAAACTTCTGCAGCGTTCGATACCACATCCCTTTGTAATCCATTAACCTCTCCCTAGAGTTCAGACCAACCTTAGATTTATAGGACCTAACTGTAATAAATCCACTTGTACATCATTTAGTGTCTTGGGGGAATTTTCTCCTCAGAAAGCGCCGCATATGCCACCCTCATATCCGCCATTTTGGATTCTTAACTAATGCCGTTTGCCAATCAAGTAACGTCAAGCCTGTATAAATCCTCATGTTAGCTTAGCCGTGTCTAATGCTATGATAGGTGTTTTGGTGGTTGTCCATAGCAACACCTTGGTTTTGACAGAGCCGTGCCGCCCCTGGTTTAAGCCCTAACCTCATCAATCTTGCTGCTAAACGGAGAGCACTCAATAGGATAGTGTATCGACGCGCCATGAACTCTATTGTTGGCTGGAACTGAGCACTCAGCAGGTTAGAGGGCCCGGTGTCTCCCTGATCAATGCGACCGTTGTTAGCCTTTACCAGCCACTCAAACACCGGGACACTCCCTTTTTTACTCGTTTCATTTCAGCTTAAAGACCTTCAACACCACTCGCCATAGAGGTTTTGTTTATTCATGAGTTTTACCTTCTGTCATTATGAGGCTTTGTTAATGCCCAAGTATACATCGTAAAGTGCTAAATGCAATGGTCACTTAAGTCCAACTTAAACCATTGATCGTTTTCTAGATACTAACTGAGTAGGATGACCAGATGTCCTTTTTTAGTTTTGAGCCCTGTGTCCCCTGTCCCTGCAGATTTATCCAAAACCAGTGATTTGTCCCAATTTTATTCAAGACATGTCTTAGGTGTCCCTATTTTTGATCAATTTGAGTAAAGAGAGGCATAAATTGTCATTTGTTTAGGGAAAATACAGAAAAGAAGCTTAGAAATGACCAAAACACAAAGAAAGTGTGACCATATTGACTCATGAATGGTCTCTGCATAACAATTTTCTTTAATTACGCAATCGTTTCACAATTTTCTTATTACCAACCACCAAAAAATCAGTGATGTCCCAGTTTTTTTATTTTGAAAATCTTGTCACCCTTTAATTGAACCATAACCCACAACAAAGTGAAGAAGACTAACCAGTCTGCCAGTCCTCTTCTGTAATGTTATTTTATTCTTCCTTACCATTGGCTAACACTAGTCACACTAGACAGTCAGTCAAATTACTTATTTTTATATAAATACTCTACTACATTCTTAGACTTGTACTCTTTAAGGTGCACTATGTAAGATTTTGGTGAAACCCTCTATTCACCAAGTTTAAACCAAGTATATGTGGCAATAACAACATGTAACTGAATAATAATAATAAAAAATAAAAAAAAAGTTTATACCATACATACTGTGGAACATTTTAGGCAAACAGTTGACAGACTCACCATCACAAACTTTCATAGAGCATCTTTAAGGAGAGAATGCATTTACACTTCTGATCTTGTAATATTTGTTTGTTTATCTCAGTCCAATCCCAACGTAGCCCCCCGCTGTGCCAGTGCTACTTACAAACAGGAAGCCCCCCTCCATACATTAGCATATAGGAAAGGTCACGGGCAGACGTGGATCTGGTTGTCTTTCCTCCTCCCACTGAGATAAGGTCCAGCTGGGAACGTCCTATGCACTACCTGATGCGTGACACACTGCCCTGGGGAAAACCTGACTATTTATCTCTGCACTAATTTACAGTATGTTTTGTAAAACGAAAACAAATATATTTTTTTCTTATAGGTTCCTTTTTATTGGAGGCATGTTTTTAATGATTTGTCTAATTCTAACAGAGATGTTGGTTAGTTTCATCTTTTTTATGTTTTTACGCTTGTTTTTTTTCCCAGTTATTTCAAACCTTACTTTTTTTCTACACTCAAAACTGGCTCACCTCTGGATCGGCTCTGAATAGGTCACAGTAAAATAGACTGTTTGACTGGCCAAGGTCACGTAACACTGAGAAGTCATAAAGCACTTTGTCAACAGTCGCTATATCAACTCTTAACAATCTGGCATCGTGTTCTCCCCTACCTCCCTCATCCACTTTTTTACGACGATGCCGCTTCAAATGCATCTGAAGTTGTGTTGTTGTTTTTAATAGTTAAACTTTGGTGCAGTTAAACCAGTGACAACTATTTGTGCTGTGACTACCAGTATGAATGACCCAATAATCAAGCTTGCTGGAGTGGACCCGGATTTGGAACACAGAGCGGAGAAAAGATGCCCTCGTCCTGAGCGGGTGGGGCAGATTGGATTATGGGTAGGCAGGCCTGTCAGTGGCTGAGGGAGCAGGGCTGCAGGCTCAGGGGGGCAACAGGTGCGCCTCTCGCCAGCGTCCACTAAATGAGACTAATCACACAGGCCTGAACAGCACCGGAAACTGTAGGGACAGAGGGACACACAGGGCGGACACTGGACCAAGACCAAAAATACCTTAAGTCATAGTATTGCAGAGGAAATTAAAGCAGCACGAAAAGGAATAACATTTTTCAGGCTTGATTCACTGTGAGAAATTAGAGCTATGTAAATTTAAATTACTCGAATTAACTTGATTTTAGTAGAAATCATTTCACAAGGAATAAGACTTTTTTTTTTTACTATTTTAGCTTAAGTACAAAAAGTAGTTGTTTTTCTCATCTTCAGTGTTTCAACTACAAAAAGACTGAATAAATTTACTTATCACGTGAAATTTACTAAAATCAGTATAACATTTCTTAATTCAAGCCATTTTAACTTTAGGTTAGAGTTTTTGTAGTGTTGGAAATCTATGGCCTTGCTCAAATACATTTTACTGATTCTTACAGATTTTTTAATCTCTTAAGTTATAATGTAACTGACCTCTGTCTCTTAAAAATGAACCACACTTAAGACCCATAGTTGTGGAAATTGGCTTTATTTGTGAAGGAATGTTACAAATTAGAGCATAGATTGTTTTACACTTTGGAAATTTACTTTCTATTTTCGTTCACGGCTTAATGCACATTGCACTCTTTAACAGCTGTTCATTTAGGTCATTTTGAAACAGAGATCCCAAGACTATTTTTAGTTTTCATTTTACTTCATATTCTGTTGGGTTCATGTTTAAGATTTCTTACTTATCTGTTTAAATTTGTTAGTGAAAAATCTTGATCTTGGCTAATTTGTCTTTAAGGAAGGAACATTTTTCCCTCATGGCAAGATGGTTCACAGTTCAATTCCCAAACATGGAGATTTTTTTTTTACAATTTCCATCTTCAGTTCGTTCAGTTTCTTTTGTTTGCCATAAAGCGTGTGCTTGGGCATAGTCACTAAAATAAAAAGATATGCTATGAAAATGCAGTGTTATCAAAAAGGAACATCATCCCTTTCCAGTTATGAAAACTAGCAAAAATATCCTGCCAGCCATGTTTTATTACTCTGATCTTTGTTGGGGATTGTCCTCACAACCATGACCTTGTCCTTACAAAACTGGCCTGCACTATCACAATGAAACACAAGCCACATTTGCACATGGCCTCAGTAAGGAGTGGAGCTGGAGAAAACTGTAATCCTCAAATCCCTCTCTGGACGCCCAATGTCTTGTTTTGGACGGTCCTGGGATTCTTTGAGTAACACACACCGACGTGAATGATGGACACGATCTATTCTTAGCCCCGGCAGAATCTTCCCAACCTTTGCCGCAAATATCACATTGCTGATGTATTCCATATTAAATGACTGAGTTTTAAAGGAGCGGGCCGGCGCAG